CCTCCTGGGAGCGGGGCAGCCGGAGGGCTGGGGCCCCGAGCTGTGGGCAGGGGGTTGGCAGAGGCGCGAGCTGTTAAGACCAGCAAACGCACATCTGCTCACGGGTCTCCGCAAGCGGGGACGGGGGTCTGGCTCCTGGGCCCCGGCTGCCTGCCGGTGGGAAGGCCCAGCCTCGAGTGCGTGGGGTCGGTCAGGCGAGTATGCTTCAGAACCACATCCAGGCACCGGAGGCTGAGGAGGGCGAGATGGGCACCCTCATCCCTCCAGACCCTGCAGTGTGCTTGGGCATGGCACATGCACCCTCCGTGTCTTGTAGGGGCACATGAGCAGGAGCACGGCGGGGTCCCTCCATATGCGCAGGGACATGCCAGGGTCCCTCCATATGCGCAGGGACGTGCCAGGGTCCCTCCATATGCGCAGAGACGTGCCAGGGTCCCTCCATATGCGCAGAGACGTGCCAGGGTCCCTCCATATGCGCAGAGACGTGCCAGGGTCCCTCCATATGCGCAGAGACGTGCCAGGGTCCCTCCATATGCGCAGAGACGTGCCAGGGTCCCTCCATATGCGCAGAGACGTGCCAGGGTCCCTCCATATGCGCAGAGACGTGCCAGGGTCCCTCCATATGCGCAGAGACGTGCCAGGGTCCCTCCATATGCGCAGAGACGTGCCAGGGTCCCTCCATATGCGCAGAGACGTGCCAGGGTCCCTCCATATGCGCAGAGACGTGCCAGGGTCCCTCCATATGCGCAGAGACGTGCCAGGGTCCCTCCATATGCGCAGAGACGTGCCAGGGTCCCTCCATATGCGCAGAGACGTGCCAGGGTCCCTCCATATGCGCAGAGACGTGCCAGGGTCCCTCCATATGCGCAGAGACGTGCCAGGGTCCCTCCATATGCGCAGAGACGTGCCAGGGTCCCTCCATATGCGCAGAGACGTGCCAGGGTCCCTCCATATGCGCAGAGACGTGCCAGGGTCCCTCCATATGCGCAGAGACGTGCCAGGGTCCCTCCATATGCGCAGAGACGTGCCAGGGTCCCTCCATATGCGCAGAGACGTGCCAGGGTCCCTCCATATGCGCAGAGACGTGCCAGGGTCCCTCCATATGCGCAGAGACGTGCCAGGGTCCCTCCATATGCGCAGAGACGTGCCAGGGTCCCTCCATATGCGCAGAGACGTGCCAGGGTCCCTCCATATGCGCAGAGACGTGCCAGGGTCCCTCCATATGCGCAGAGACGTGCCAGGGTCCCTCCATATGCGCAGAGACGTGCCAGGGTCCCTCCATATGCGCAGAGACGTGCCAGGGTCCCTCCATATGCGCAGAGACGTGCCAGGGTCCCTCCATATGCGCAGAGACGTGCCAGGGTCCCTCCATATGCGCAGAGACGTGCCAGGGTCCCTCCATATGCGCAGAGACGTGCCAGGGTCCCTCCATATGCGCAGAGACGTGCCAGGGTCCCTCCATATGCGCAGAGACGTGCCAGGGTCCCTCCATATGCGCAGAGACGTGCCAGGGTCCCTCCATATGCGCAGAGACGTGCCAGGGTCCCTCCATATGCGCAGAGACGTGCCAGGGTCCCTCCATATGCGCAGAGACGTGCCAGGGTCCCTCCATATGCGCAGAGACGTGCCAGGGTCCCTCCATATGCGCAGAGACGTGCCAGGGTCCCTCCATATGCGCAGAGACGTGCCAGGGTCCCTCCATATGCGCAGAGACGTGCCAGGGTCCCTCCATATGCGCAGAGACGTGCCAGGGTCCCTCCATATGCGCAGAGACGTGCCAGGGTCCCTCCATATGCGCAGAGACGTGCCAGGGTCCCTCCATATGCGCAGAGACGTGCCAGGGTCCCTCCATATGCGCAGAGACGTGCCAGGGTCCCTCCATATGCGCAGAGACGTGCCAGGGTCCCTCCATATGCGCAGAGACGTGCCAGGGTCCCTCCATATGCGCAGAGACGTGCCAGGGTCCCTCCATATGCGCAGAGACGTGCCAGGGTCCCTCCATATGCGCAGAGACGTGCCAGGGTCCCTCCATATGCGCAGAGACGTGCCAGGGTCCCTCCATATGCGCAGGGACGTGCCAGGGTCCCTCCATGTGTGCAGGGACGGGCCAGGACCTTCTGTGTACGGGATGTTTGGGAATAACCGGGTCTCTCCCTGCAGAGCCCAGCTTTGTCCATGCCGATGTGATTCGAGCGAGCCCGGAAGGCGCCGAGGGCGGGGACGACAGGGTCTACTTCTTCTTCACGGAGGTGTCTGTGGAGTACGAGTTCGTCTCCAAGTTGATGATCCCCAGGGTCGCGCGGGTGTGCAAGGTGAGGCCGCTCCCCATTTCTCTCTGGTTCCACCTGTGCACACAGCACCTCGCCCAGGCCCCACACCCCCCTCAGTGCCACAGAGGTCAGGTGGGCGGTCCCTCCGCTCAGGCATCCGGAGGGAGCTGGAGCCCAGGGAGCTTGGCACCTCTGAGTGGCCGGTGCCTGGTCTCCTGTCCTCAGAGGGTCTGCTCTGCACGCACCATCCTCAGACCTCGCCCGGGAGCAGAGAGCGCCTGTTGTCACCGCAGTAACCGAGGCTGTGGGACTGGGACTTCTCCGTTCCAGGGTAAAGGCGGGGAGGGCTCGTTGTGATTGTGCCCACAGTAGGTAAGGGCACTCGGCGTTACTCCCCTCTGCACCCGCGTTCCCGAGTCTCAGGCTTTCTCTGCGGGCCAGGTCGCTGCAGGTGCGATTTACGATCGTCCCTGACGGTTCATGGAGAGCCCGGCAGGTCCAGAGCACTTGAGCGA